CGGACTTCGTTCATTTGCTGTCAGCCTAGTTACTACCTAATTACAGCCTAATTACTCTCACCAGCCTACTCTGCTTACTTGTAGGCTGTGTCCCGTGCTCACCTGGGACAGTGGAGAGAATTGGTTATGGAAAGATATTTGTGGCTCTTCCAAACTACGTTTATGGCCTTAAATAAGACACTTTAACGTCTTTGAAGCTTGCAAAAGAGTTGAATTTGATTATTTCCCTCGTCTGTGTTAGTCCTCAAACTCAGTGTTTCTAATCTTGTAAAATTTGTTATGCTTATTCCGCTTTCTCTTGCAGGGAACAGGCTACAGTTACACATGGACTGAAAAATAAGTCATCGTTTGGGTACCTACTATTAGGTTCTCTTAAAATGCTGAATTTTGTTTTTTAATCTTGTTTTCTGTGTCTGATTTACTTCCCAGTTACATAAATGTTCATTTATGTAAACTGTAAATAGGGTTTTCTTTCCGTGAAACTTCACTCTAGATGTAAATTGTGGTGTTTTAAAGCCTATACTTTTTCTCATTCATTAAGAGCAAGTTTTACAAGAGGCAAGTCCAGATGTAATGTTATACGAGTGTTCAAGAGTGGCCATGGCACCGTGCATCCTGTTGAGCCTGGAGTGCGATCATTATGATCATGTGCCCTCAGGGCACCGTGCAGTGCACCACCACTACACACCAGGCGTTGCTTCGTTCCTTTCAGCTTGTTTAGTTCCCTCTGAAGAGCTTTAGGAGAGAAGACACTTTGATGACCCTCACTTGGCAGAGTAAAACTCATTCATGGACAGATTAGATAAATTGCCCCAGATTAAACGCCAGTGTGATGTGAAAGTGTAGCCCCCATTCTTTACCACTAGGCTAAGTGTTTCTGTATATAGCATTGCTGTTAATATTGAATCTAAACATATATTTATGTGAAAGTAGATATATATAGATTAATTGAACACTTGTGAAAATTAATCTGTAAATTAAAGTACAATTTTGCGTTTTAGTAAATCCTTTTTTTAATCTTCTATTTTAAAGTCTCAAATGGAACCTTACAAAATAAGGCTTTCTTAATTGATTCCGATGAATATGAGGTACGTTTATCCTCTGTCTTAGACATTTGTCATAGGAATACTTTAAAAATCACCAATTTCCCTTGTTTTAATTTGAAAAATGAGATACATTATGTTAAATGTATTTAGCCATATATCACATAACCATCAAAAGCTTATATTGTTAAATATATCAATCATTTAATGACAAACCTTTTTCAAAATAACAAGATATGTTAGTTATCTAAACTTTTTTTTTCTGCTCATGTATATGTTAGTGTTTCTAATAAGAACTTTGAGATGTTGTGTACTTGGAGTCAACCTTGCTACTTGTCCAAGTGTGCTCTTAAAGCAATACAAGGACTGTATTGTAAAACTTAAGTCAATTTTAGTCCTTTGGCTTTACGTATTAACCTACCTTGTAGTTACGCTAATGCGGTATATTAACACATTTTCAGTTGACATTTATACTGTGGTCTTTGGACAGAATTATGGCATGATTTGAAGCATAAATTACCTTCCTAAAACCATTTCAAATTATTTTAAGAGGCTGAGATAATGACTACAATAATTATATTATCCACTTAAATTTTAGTGTTTCTTATTTTAGGTAAATAGAATATATAAATAAATCCATTTGTTTCATGTCTAAGTTACTAAGATTTTTTAAGTAATACCCAAATGATAAAAAAAATTTCATTACATTTTAGTAGGTAGACATTATTTGAAACATCAGTTTTTTGTAACTAGTTTGTCAACTCTTTTTGGTAAAGTTATTCATTGATTTAAATGTGTACCTCTCCAGTGTACAATGGAATATTTCTACCTAGTGGAGTAATAGTCCTTTCAAATGGTTATAAAATGAGTTTCTGGGACTGGTTTATAAACTGCACTGCCATTAGTGAATAGGTGGTGTTAAAGCTGTGTCAGACAGAATGAACCTAGACATTACCAATGAGTGCATTTAGAGAAATTTAAATTCTCTTCAGATCTTTTATATCTCTAGGTTACCTTGTTGAAATCCAATGAAATGTAATGTCATTTCTGCAGGTCCATCCAACACAGAACATTAAAAACAATTTTTTTCCCCAAATCTTCTAATTCCTAAAGTTTATCTCAAGTCCAGCTCTTTTGGTAAAACTTTTCCGTTTTATTATCACGTACCCTTAGTCTGTCAGTCTGTGTGTTTCTCTGAGACACCATCTGTACAAACATCAGAAATAATAGAGGAAATTCAAGCATGTGCGTATTTCCAAGTGCCAGCAATAAGCCAGGTGCCCTCCTCGGCAAGAATCCTTTTCTCTTTTTCTTTCTTTTTTCCCTTTGGATAGGGTGGGTAGAGGGCGATGATGCTATATACCACCTTAACCGACCTCCATGGTGAGCTTAATTCTGCAAATTTTAAGAGTTTGCTAATTAATCAAAGGTCTTTTTGGACACTGATGCATACAGAGATGAATACATTGTCACATCCTTAAATAGTTTATCATTTTCCTGTCCAAATAGATTTTCCCTCTTCTTAGCAGAAGAGAACACATCTTTGGAAATCTGTATCCATTTTCTGTTGAATGAGAAGTTAAACAGATGTCCTTGCTGATTTAGCTATGAAAATATTAGTATAATAATTTGGTAAGTTTTATCCAATCTATATGATGGTATTAAACGTAGTTAATACTATTTGATGCTTTTAAAATAATTAGTGTCTTTCAAACTACACTGAATACCTAATATCTCTAATGTGCATTTTGGCATTCTGTTATAGTCAGTTCAACACCTTACACATTTCTGGATAGTGAGCTTTTGGAGGAAAATATCTGTAGTCCTTGTCTGCGTATCTCAGCCCAGTATCTAACATATGATATGTTTGCTGAATGAATCAATACTATATCATGGATGTAATCTTCACCATAAGGTTATCTAGAAACCACATCTTCTGTAATTCCCTGTCATGCTGATTCTGTGCTTTATACATGGTAAGTGCTGGATATTCCTGTTAACTTGAAATGTGAGACATGGCAATGGGTTATTTTCATAACCAACTTTATGTTTACTTATTTAAAATGGAGAATGAATTAATCTCGTAATTTTAAAAGCCCTTAAATATACCAAAATGCTTTTCACCCTATAGAATTTACATCATTCCCATTATCATTACTATCTTCTTAAGCAATGTATTTCTCCTATTCCTTTTTACTGGTAAAAAGAAAGGCACAATGGAATACATGAATCTGCTTATGATACTCTTTTAGGGGAATTTCATAGGAAAAGTGAAAAGAGCCTTTGAAAAAATTTCTTTGAAAACTATTTTAGGAAAAAGGAACAAGTATACTATGTAGCAGTATGGAGGGCTCAGCCCTTGAGTGCTGGAAGTTGTTTATTGAAATACTAT